GCTGCACGCTCCCCGGTGGCTCGGACCCTGCTGCTAAGGGACTTTTCGAACTTTATCACAGCGGGGTGTTTAACCCAGGCCCAGGTGCGGAGGAGGCCAAAGGTGAGAAGAAGTCCGAGGGAGAGCGAGATCTAGTGAGTGGGGCCCTCTTATTTGTTTTGCGTGTCTTCTGTTCTGAGGTCCGTTTGGTTCATTGGTACCCCTCCCCCCAAAAAAAACTTTATTCGCTAATCTCAAACCCTCATGTCTCATCCTTTTTTCAACTGTCACTTTTTTAGGGCTCAGTTTCCTGTTAATGCCTGTTTTTCTGCCAACAAAACTCCGTTGTGTTGCAAATTGTGGGGGCAGCTCCACTCCTCTTTAACTTTACCGGATTTAGTTACTCAAGAGGGAAAGTCTCAGCGGTTCTCTTGCTCTTGCCCTTCTGCTCTGCAGATGAAAAGGCGGAGGGGCAGGAAAAGGAAGTAGCCTGCTAGGGTGACGGACGTGTCCCAGGGCGTGGCACCTCGGTGCTCTCAGAGGCCGCGAGGACAGGGTAGCACTGTTTGTAGTTGTCTTCTTGCCCAGTTGAAGCGTCGCCTTTGGGTGAGTGTTTCGACTGCTTGGCCTTTGCTCACAGCTTGCTCTTCCCCTTGAGCGAAGTGGCGGTCAGGCCCTGTGGACACAGTGGCGAAACAGGCACATTGACACCTCACTCTCATTTTCACCCCATCCCATTAGTCACAGATATTTATATGTCCACTTTTTCCATAGGATTGTAAGCTTTCAAAAGGGGAAACTCCAAATCATTCCCTTTTGTTTTCCCTAGGTTCTGGTTTGAAAGCACTCAGGGTGTGTCTTGGAATGTTAAATGTGGACAGCTGACTTTGCAAAAAATGCAAACGCAATTGCCGTGGATGTTTAGAGGTGAAACATGCTCCTTAATGTGACAGTACACGCCAAGGGTGGGATGCGGCGCCCACGCCTTACCGCTAGCTTTCAAGAAACTTTGGTTGGATAGATACCCTGACGAGTAAATTGCCCTCCTAGGTCTGTGCAAATGTCACTGTTCCAACGTGAGAAGTTTCCCCGAATCATCAGTATTATAGAACAGGACAGCTGGAAATTCCTTTGGGTGTAAACAGAGTACACACAATCGGGAAGGACGTTTAAGACAGCGACAGCCTTTATGCAGCAAATAGGGAGGAGGGCACCTTGGAGACCGCGGCTGTAATGAAGTGATTTGAATATTGGAAAGTGGAAATCTAGCCAGTTATCAGTTGTTGAATGTCACCTTGTCACGTAGTGAGATTCATAAACACACCTGAATCATGTCTCTGCCTGTTTCATTCCCCAAAATTCAGTATATATTAAATGATATTAAATAAAAGTAAGTGTGTATCTAAAACAGTTTGTCACTAGACAAACTGTTAATGTAATTATAAGTCCATTTACAGGAGCAGTTTTGCTTAGCAGAAAATGTCAAGATAGATCCTAGCAATCTATGGTTTTCAAACTCTTCTTTCAAAGGTTACAAAATAAAGTTGGACAATCACTGATTTAGGGATTGTGGAAACTCAGACTGAAGTTTGAAGTCTGGCTCTGACACCAACTATTTAATCTTGAGCAAGTTATTTTGCTTCTTTGAATGCCTTGGTTATTTCTTTTTGTCTTCTTTTGATCGTCTATAGAGTGTACATAATTTTATTTCCTGTAACTACTGCATTTGGTTTTGAGATGACTGAGTGAGTTCATACCGATTTGACTACAGATTAGACTACATTTACCACTGGGTGTAATTCTGCTAGAAAATGCCTTACTCACTAGACCAACAGGTTCTAAAGTTTGATCATTGTTATTCTAATTATCTTAATCCCTGACACATTACACATGCTGAAACATTTATTGAATGAATGCATAATATAATGGGTATAAATTAATCCATTTTAGTATATGGCAAAAAAACCCAACATGATTTCCATGCTGTCTGCCTTGTGAATAAATCGGAGCACCACTATATGACAGTGCATTATCAAAATAAAAAAAATCTTCAAGACAGAAAAACAACATGATATATATCAATTCTGTAATATGTTTGTTGGTATCTTGCATACTACTGGCATTGGTAGTATAAACAGGTACTATAATAATTTTGCTTATTTAATACTTCACATTTTATCAAGTAATAAACATTTTCCATCCCATTTAATGATTACACAATTCTATAAGGAAAGCATTACCTAATATTTATTGTATCCCAATCAAGAGTGAGACTCAGAGATTTTATTAGGGATTACTGCCTGTGAAAGAAACAGGAGGGAACAAAAAGAGAAAGAAAGCCTCAGACAACAATTCAGGTCTGAGCCCTGGGAAGAAAAGAAAGATAATTACAGAAAAAAAGAAACTTAGAAATGTGACTCTGAGGTAGTCTTAGCTCGGCGGAGAACGCTGAGGCACCGACTGCCCGTGGGAGAGCCTGGACTGGAGAAATGGCCTGCCGTGGCTCCTGGGCCGTACCCAGTCGCTGGGTGGGGTGAGGAGCTGAGGTGTACCCATAAGCCCTGAGGTCAGCAGGTGACACCTGCCCAGCAGATGTCTTCCCACAGAGAAATGAAAGCACTTCTTTCCATGGAGGTTAAGGTGGGGGCAACTTTGGTTCGAAATCAAGAATTGATGACAGTGGCCAAAAAAGAAGCAGGACCATTTGTGGAAGTCTTGTGATGTTCCTACTGCAGTCCCATGCTCTGCTTCTGTTCATCTCCTAGGCAGATGTCCAGACTGTGTCGTGTCCTCATGTTCCCATGTTAATTCATTATAATTATCCGATTGACTATTCCACCAAGCTTCATCTCCCTGGTGGCAGGGCTATTTTTGTACATCAAGTTATACTTATCTCAGAGCCTGGTCAATACTTATACATCACCTTAATTAAACAGATGGATGGAGGAAGGGAAGGCAGGAGCAAATAATGAAATTTCTATATATGAACATGCAGGTGATGACAGATTACTCTGGTGATAGACAATAGCCCAGGATTACATTAGTATTATCGCCCTGGTCAGTTAATTGTTATACATGGATGCTTTTGAAACTTGTTTTTCAGGAGCCCTGTCTTAGTTACTTTTCTGTCGTTGATGGGACAAAATGTACAACCACCAAAATGAAGGAAGGAAAGTTTTATTTAGCTCACAGTTAGTGGAGGTTTCAGCCCATACTCATCTGGCTCCAGGGCAGAGCAGCACGTGGAAGAGGCCAGCGGTTCATGGTGGCAGAAAACAGTAAAACAGCAAAAGCAGAAAGAGGAGTAGTGGCAACAATGGCGACAGAGAGCAAGTCTGACTCCCTGATGTTGCACTGAGACCATCTGGCCCAGGCGGGTGTAGGACTCACACCTATAATCCCAGCACTGGATCATGAATTAATCACAAAGTCTAGAAGTCTGCCCCCTCGCTGTGTGAGGCTTTGGTGGGACAACCAGACACAAACCATAACAAGCCGTTTGCGTTTTTTCGTTTTGTTTTGTCTTAATGTATTTAGTACAGGGTCTACCGAGTCTCTCGCTACATAGACTGGACTAGTGATCCTCCTGTTTTCAGTCTCCTGAGCGCTGGGATTTTAGGTGCATGCCACCACAGCTGGTCTCAACCTGTGTCTCGGCGTGCCCTGGGGGCAGGACTGGCACAGCACAGCGAAGATCAAACCCCTCAGCCGCTGTCTGCCGCCGTGTCTGCCTAAGCAGGCACTTTAGTCCGCTGAGCTATCTGGCTGGCCCCCTCTGCATTCTTGAAGATTAGAAGATTTAAAAGAGATTTTGAGTTGTATTTTACAATATTTACTGTACTATAAATGCAAAATAAAATGATTGATTTATTCATTTCATACCAGCAAAATTTAAAACATTGATAAAAATACAACATCCCTTAGCAACAGGGATACTTCCTGAGAAACATGTGCAAGTGACTTTGTGCTTATGCAAGCACCAAAAAGTGTACACACACACACACACACACACACACACACACACACCCCACAGGCAGTCCAGGTCAGCCCCTCAGCGGGAGGTCTGGCGAAAATTCAGAGACAGGGCAAACCTGAAGCGTGCGAAGCTGCGGCCAGCAGGCACACAGATACTAATTTACAGTGCGCAGTCTTTAATAATTAGCAGGAATGCACCTTCATATAATGATGAAGTAGAGGATGGTGAATGTGAAAACCAGGACCGGAGTCCCTCGTTACCGACATCGAGTATTCCACGCTTTACATCACTGTGCACGCTGTCCCTTCATGTAACTGGCAGCACGGTCTGTTCATATACATCAATATCAGAGCAAACTTAGGAGTAACCTTTCTGAATTCTGAAAAGCGCTCCACTGGAGAAATTTTCCACTTGATTCTCTGGGCGGTATCTCAACAGTGTGTGCCTTTGTCACAGACAGAGGAACACAGCAGTGCAATGACAGAACTGTAAACGTATTGCCCGTTAATAGTGGGCCATTTGTGTCAGTTTTGTATAGCCAGTTTGGGGATAGTCCAGGTTTAATCACGTAATAGGTGAAAAATAGAAGAACATCTTTGAATTTGGGTGAGGGCTTATAAATTAATAATTAATAGTTCTTTCTCTTTGAATAGCTTTATT